ATACAATTCTACTGCATCAATCCCTCCCCCTTTGGCCAGGTGTAGACTGGTGCTTAATTGTTCGATAGCTTCATGTTTGTGTTCTCAGTCAAATTATTTTGGTGCTAACTTCTCCTCAGTCCTGGCAATGTGGTTATCATGAGCAACCTACACAACTCTTGCTGATGTGCTTCTTGTGTTAGGAGGAATGACTCTCACGGTGGCAGTAAATGATCAGAAATCTCAGTAATGCACAAATGAGATCATTCTCTCACAACTTCAAACCCACACATGATTACTAACCATGGCATTTCAATGCAGCGTGATTTCCTGCATGATGGAGAAAAGCAGCTTGCCATATGGATCGCTGCTCCATCACATACCTTTGCAAGTATATTCACACACATGAGTCACAGTAGACAAGAATCATTAGTGTTTGGCCAATTGTAAGCTCTACTCGAGTGTGCATCAGTGATTATTTTGTTATGTGCTACATTTTGGGAAACATAAGCTGGTTCCTGCTTATAGGGGTCTGAGCCACATAGGAATTATTTTCAATTATATTTGATTGAAAATACACTATGGAAATATGTTGGAGAGCCTATATCAAGGGCTTTTACTCTCCTAGGCTGGCATTACAGATTGTCTTGTGTAACCTAGCAGCATGAACATCATCATCATGTGAAAATAACTATTCTTGGCTTCCATGTTCCATGCAGGAAATTCATTTGCTTTCAGCTAGAAAAATTGTTTGTGCTGTTCAGAGCTGCAGATGAGGCAAGATTCAGTAAGCACGCAAGGACCCAGTTCTGCTGCCCTTACTGTCATTAATGGGGCTACTCACAGGAGTAAGAGCTGTAGGATCAGGCCCAGATCCAGATCATATAGTGCTGTAAAATAATTTCAGAAAATTCTAAGGAAGATCAACAATCTCACTAGTGCCTAATGCCTAAACTAGGCAGTGGAGATTGGTGGCTTGCCTCACCACTCTCTCCCCAAACTGATGGTGTGCTCACTCTTTACCATCATTCATTGCCTTTTCCCATTTGTCAGCAATGAGAAGTAGAAATATTTAATAGCTAGCAAAATCTCCCTAACTTAGTTCAGAGAGGCAGTCTGCTCTAGTAGGTAGGAACACAGCCTAGGAGTCAAGCAACCCGCTTTCTGTTCCTGGCTCTGCTACAAGTGTCATGTGTGGAAGTGAGCAAGCCATTTCACCTTTCAGTATCACCATTTCCCCATCTTTAAGAGGGACAGTAAAGCTTATCCCCCTCTGTAAAGTGACTCGAGATGTACAGGTGAAAAGCACTACACAAGAGCCAGGTATCATTGGTTTCAGTACTCTGATGTTGCCCCATACATGATTCTCTTCTGGTGTTTGTTCTGACAGCATTCTGAATGAGCTAAGAGAGTCAACGGCCAAAACCGAGGCTTCATTTCAACGTGCCCAGACTTCGATAGGAGGCTCCAGATTGCAAGCTGTCTCTCCAGTTTCCCTCAGGAGCTTTTCGGAAGAAGCACGAGAAGAAAGCTCTTGGCTTCCAGAATGGCTGGTGAAAGAGTTACTGAAAGGGCAGCAGAGGAGTCACTCAATAGGACTCCTGGAGAATATATTGGAGCATGAAGGTTTTCGGCGACACATTGACTCTGCCAAGAGTCTGAGGAAAGGAAAGGTATTGTCAATGCTCTCCAGTTTGTGTCTCCTGTAGTATGCCCCCTTTGTGAATAGGATTTGCCACAGGAGAGGAGCCAGAAAGCCAGAATCCTTGTTTTCAGTGTGAGTGTAATGATCTTAAGAACTTTACAATGTAATGTGCGTTTAAAAAACCCCCTAAAAAGCCTGTTTAGGAATATGCTTGCCTTTTGATGCACTGAGTTATATGACTAAATCCCTGCACGGTGACAGGGATGCATACTCAGATGCAACCCAGCTGAAAATTTATCTGGCCATCTAAGCAATTAGAGCATCAAAAAGCCCTGGATGCTGGCTCTGCAGTAGGTTTTATGGTGCGAGTTGGCCAATGTAGGGATTGCTGCTCAGGTACCTGAATTACCTGAATGCATTCCTATAATCAAGACCATCAGCCAGAAAGTCTCAAAAGAGTGACTGAGTGTGGGCTTGGGAGGATGATACCTCTAACACTCAGCTGCACCAAGCCTCCACTTAGCTAGTCTAAAAAGGAATGTGGCGAGTTGGGGTGGAATATCAGTCGCTGGAAGTTGGGCTGAGTAAGGGCTTGTCTACACTTGAAATGCTAGAGCAGAGCAACTGTGGCGTTTCAGTGTGGACGCTGTCTATGCCGATGGGAGAGGTTCTCCCATCGACATAAGTATCCCACCTCCCTGAGAGGCGGTAATTAGGCTGATGGGAGAATTCTTTCATTGACCTAGCACTGTCTACACAGGGACTTACATCGGTTTAACTATGCCATTCAGGGGTTTGTTTTTTGAGGTTTACAGGCTATTCTACATAAACTGGGCTGCCCAAGAAGGTTCATATAAATCATCCATCTGTTCCATGACCACATGACAGTGCTAGTCCTCAGCAGCAGTGACTTTGCTGATGCATTTGAAATTTCGAATGGAGTGAAGCAAAGCTGCGTACTTGCTCCAGTGCTGTTCAATTTGTTCTTTGTCTGTGTCCTCAGCCATGCCACAAGGGACTTGGATCAAGGGATATATATCCAGTACCAGCTCGATGGCTCCCTCTTTGATCTTCAAAGACTCAATGCTAAGACCAAGATGCTGGAGAAACTTCTCATCGAGGCACTTTTTGCAGATGACTGCGCCTTGATGGTCCATAGACATGACCACCTTCAGGTCATTGTTGATAGGTTTTTTTGAAGCATCCCAGCTCTTTGGACTTACCGTCAATCTCGGGAAGACAGAGGTCTTGTTCCAACCAGCACCTCATTCCAATGCCCCAGTGTCAGCCATCTTCATCTAAGGCACTGAGCTGAAAAATGTGGATCAGTTCAAGTATTGGGCAGCACAATCTAGAGTGACAGTTCCCTTGATAAGGTAATTGCCTCCAGAATCACTAAAGCCAGCCAGGCCCTTGGCCGACTGCAAACAAAAGTCCTTAACCAACACAACATTCGTCTCTCCACTAAATTGAAGATCTACAGTGCAGTGGTTCTAACATCTCTCCAGTATGGATCTGAGACATGGCCTCTTTATAGACATCACATTAAATAGCTTGAGCAATTTCACATGTGCTCCCTCTGCTCAATAACGAGCATTCACTGGCAGGACAGAGTGACCAATATTAAGGTCATTGAGCATAGGCACTGTCTCCATGGGTGCTGCACGGCTTGAGCACCCACAGAAAAAAATTAGTGGGTGCTTAGCATTCACTGGCAGCCAGCTTCCCCCTTCCCCCCCAGCACTTTCCGTCCACCAGCGGCCCTGCCGATCAACTCCTCCCCCTCCCTCCCAGCGCCTCCCACCCGCCGCAGATCAGCTGTTCTGCGGCGTACGGGAGGCATTGGAGGGGAGGGGAAGGAGCGGGGATGGGGCGCACTCAGGGGAGGGGCGGAACTGGGCAGAAAGGGGCAGGAAGAGGCAGGGCAGGAGTGGGAGCTTGGGGGAAAGGGTTGGGGGGGTGGGGCCTGGGGCAGAGCAGGGGCAGGCAGAGGCAGGGCAGGGTGGGGACTTGGGGGGAAGGGGTTGGGTGGGGGCGGGACCTAGGGCGGAGTGGGGGGTTGAGCACCCCCAGGGCCTGGAGGAAGCTGGGGCCTGTGTCCTTGAGAGACCAAACACAACCAGCATTGAGGAAAATTTACAGAGAGCACAATTTAGGTGCACCAGACATGTCATCAGAATGGAAGAACACCATCTCCCAAATCAGATCTTGTAGTTGAGTCAGGGCAAAAGAAAGAAGGATCGTCCATATAAGCACTTCAAAGATAATCTGAAGAGCAGTCTCCAGTGGGCTGGCATCATTCGTAAAGAACTTGAGCAAATGGCTCAGAACAGGACTTACTGGCAGTCTCTGATAAGATCAGCATATAACAGGTTTGAGAGGGATCGACAAAATCATCTCCAGGCTGCATGTGAAAGGCGCCACAGAGCTGTATCATCAAACATCCAAGATACAGACTTCCCATGCCCTCAGTGTGGCCAATTCAGTGCACCAAGGTTTGGACTTCGGAGTCAATTGTGTAGCCATAGATGAGAACTGCAACAATATTGTTGTCATCATCCGCAATGGACTGCCAACATGCAATGATATTAGTAACCAGTGGGTTATGAGCTTTGCGTTCATACCTTGCATGACACTTATCAGATACATTTCATGACATTTAAAGAATTGAAGTACATTAGAACTGGTTAGGCCAACTGGAAATTCATTAGCAGATATCAGAGTGCCCCTTTCCCCCTGGGCTGTTCTTAATGTCACAGTAAGAAATATTAAAATGTTCCTGGTTGAAAACATATTACGCAGAGAGAAGGGTAATTACAAGGGTGGATTAATCAGACAAATTCTGCACTTGTATCCAAGTATGAAAAGCTGATAGCCTTACCATGAGAGGCGACATTTGGGAGTGTCTGTGCAATGATATGTACTGTTACATATATGGGGAATTATCAGTGTGTTAAGGTTCTGAATGTAGCCAGCATTAACAAGATATTTCCAGAAGCCTGAGCAGACTCAGTCAAAAGTACCTCTTCTCAAACCAACTGGCCTCTGGAGTTCTTATTAAATATTACATCCACTGAAACTGTGTGTGTGTGTGTGTGTGTATTTGTATTCAAGAGCAGAATTTTCCCCTTAATATTTGTGTGGTGCTTGGAAGGTGTAAAGCTCAATATAAATGATAAGTATTATTACTCTTGCATGTTTATACAGTGGTAAAAATATCATGTCTGGTAAATTGTCATTGTGTCTGTTAGATCAGTCATGATGCACTCTCACTTTGCCACAGATATTGTGGATAAGAAGGAACTTTAAGTGAACCAGCTAGAGACTCCAGCCAGTAGGAGCCATGGCGAAAGGAGCCAAAGCAGGGAATGCTGCATTGGTGCGGGTGGGGAGAGGTAAAATGAGGTCCAGCCAGGGCCACCACTTCCCCCAGTATCCCTGCACTGTTCTGGGTGCAGGGATACTGGGGGAAGACACCCCACCCCATCTCTGGGGAAACTAGGATCCAGGTGGTGCCTTCACACCTCATCCCTACCCCACCATGTGGCCTTGTGGGGGGGAGAGGGGTGGAACTACAGGGAGGACCCAGCTAGATGCTCTGTCTAGTAGAAGCAGAGAAAGCAGAATTCAGAGACTTGTGTACAGTTTTGACAGGACTTTCTCTGCCCTGTGCTAATTGGTGGTTTGCTGTAACCCTCTCCGACTCCCTCCCCTTCCTCACACTCTCTTAACCGCAGCTGCATTCCACATCTGCCCCTCTTACCACCTTCTCCCCTGCCCAGTCCCTTTCACCCCCCTGCCCTTCAGTGTCCCATCTCCCTTCAGTTTTCTTTCCAGGTAGCTGATCTCTTCCAAACTAAACTCACCTGCCCTCAAAAAATTGTGGAACTAACCTCAGGTTTGCTGCCATCACATTGTTCGCTCTGTTTGTGTGTTTATAACCTTTCCCTTACCCTGCATCTGTTTTGCTTATTTAGACTGTAAACTCCTTGGGGTAGGGACAGTTTGCTATTCTGTTTGTACAGTGCCTAGCACAATGGGATCCTGTCCTTGGTTGGTCCTTAGGCACTGCCTTAATAATTATGATTAGCACCAAAGTGAAATGCAGCCTGATGCATTGTTTATCGTTTCAATGAAGCCAACAATTGTAGTGTCTCATAGATTACAACTTCAAAAGACTCATTGTTTATTCAATAAATTATTGACGAATGCAGCTCAGTGAACATTTGAAACAATTGCTTGTCATTCTACTGAATAAATAACAACACTTAAAACACTTACAGTAAATATTGCCTCCTAGATTCAAAGGGATGCAGGGAAAAGGATAGATGGATGCTCTTTTACTTTGTCGTCATAGAGGTATATAAAAAACTCATTTCATATTTGAGGGTCTGATCATGTAGTGGTTTGAGTGTCTCCAGCAATGTGTTTGGCTTCAGTAGAAATTGAAAACAGTCAAGTGAAGTTGAGTGCTCTCAATATTTTACAGGATCAGGCCTTTAGTCTGTCATGAGGTTTAGTTTAAAGAGGATTTTGATAAAACAAAGAACGGGCCTAATCCACTTCCGGTTACAGGCAATTACAACCCCCCTTTGTCTTCAGTTGGTTTAGGATTGAATCTTAATTCAGAGAATGTACAATTGGGATTTTCTTTGCATTGATGCAACAGTTATGTTTAAGAAAACAATCTGAGGGGAAAGAAGAAGTTGGTTTAACTTGTACATTAGTAGAGATCCTCTTCTTTCCTTTCCTCTCGACTCCCTTTTAGACATGAGCACACTCAGGCTTCGTATCAGTTGTGTATTCCATTGCATGCTGATGTGTCACTTTTGTGTCTTCACTAAATGTGTGGCTCTAATACAGTATATATATTTTTTAACTCTTGTTTTCTCTCTTTATTTTGGAAAGATTGAACAACAAGTGACCCTCGAACAACTTCAGAAACTAAATACAGCTTTTCAGGTATGAAATCAGTGAAATCATATCAGTACATAGCCCTGATCACAAAAGGAAATGCCCAATTTATGCAAAACAATATGTTGATTAGAAATAAACTTTTGGGGCAGGAACTATTTTTCTCTGTACAGCAATGAGCCTGTTTTGGGTACCACTGTAATACAGGAATCATTTATAGAATGATGGTCGGTGCTTCAGATGTCTCATGTAATGTTATGTCTTGTGCTTTTATGTAATGTTGTTAATAGGTACACTATGCACTGAGGTTTGTTTCCATATGTAGATGTCACTCACACCCATGTTTGTTTCTCAGAACTGTGGTCTGTCCTAGTTTGCTTTTTGGTAAAGAATAGTTCAGGCTGAACTTGTGGATTTAATTGTTAACTTGACAAACTTTCTTTTTTTCTCTGAACTATATATGGGGTTTTCTTAATGCATATGCCTAGCAGAATGCCGAGAAGATTTGAACATTCTTTTTGGAACATGTCTTTGTACAAAATAATACAATTTGCTTCATGCAAATATTTTAGGATCAGTGTTCTAAAATCAGGTTGTTTGGATTCTAAAACCCCAATATGTGGATCATTTCTTTATACCCAGATTGTTCTGTAAAAGGACAAGCAGCAAAAGTGATCAGGGGCTCTCCAGTAAAGTTATTGCATTAAATAACAGAAATACAGTGAACTCCCAATGATTTCAAAGAACAATATACAGAGAGAGCAGATCTACCAGTGGCCTGTACATCAGTGTAGTTACACCAGTGCAAAACCCTAATGGCAGACAACAGCACTGTTGCAATCTCCTTTACGCTGAAGTTACACCAGTGTGAATTTCCTAGTGAGGAGCTGCTGTTTGGTAGGAGTAAGAGGGGAAATGGGAGCTGTGCTCAGGAACTGGAGTCGCCAACCACCATCAGGAGTTGTTGCAAGGAGAGAAGGCAGGAACTAATGGAAGGAGAGGAATGTCTGTGGGGGAAGGAAACCTAACACCCAGGTATCAGGAGAAGGGAGCTGGTGGCCAGGCGGCATGTGCAAAGGGAGAGGAGGAGCAGGTACAAGGGAAACATGCAGTGGAGATAGCATGGTACTTTGTTTTTCTCCAAAGAGGATACTTGTTGCAATCCAATACCTAACTACTTCCCTAATGCTGCTATTGTTCTAGAAGTCCCAAGGTGGTGTTCTGCATGACTGTGAATGGCCGGGAAAGTTTCTGTCAGAGAACGGCTGATCAGGGTACTAACCTGGTACTTGAGAGATCTGAATTCAATTCGCTGCTCCATCCCAGACTTCTGGTGTGATTTTTGGGCAAGTTGCTTAGCCTCTCTGGGCCTCAGTTCCCCGTCTGCAAATGTGGGGGTAATTGCACTTCCCTATTTCCCCGGGGTGTTGTGAGGATAAATACATTACAGGTGCTCCGATACTGTGGTGATGGGGCCATCCCATAGATGAGATGAGCCAAATTATCAAAAAGCTTGAGAATCTCTGCAGTAACTAAAATAGCAGTTTTTTAACTTGGCAAGTTGCTTGTGAAGGAGTCAATGAGCCAACTGCAAAATGAGATGGATGTGCTGACTAAGCCCCCTGCTAGCGGCTTCCTGAAACCTGCACAAATGTTGCAACCTTTTAGAGGGAGTTTGATAAGCTGAGCAGTGCAGTCATCAGTTCTGGAAGTGCAATGACTCCTCCCATCTGTTTGAATTCAAGCCCTAGAAATAGCACTCCGAGGCATTAATCTATGGTCTGAAATGAACAAAACTCAATGCTCAGGCTCAAACTGACACTTACTTGCACTTCTAGCCAAGCATGTCCTACTAGCTCAGAGCACCTGTGCTCCCACAGGGGGTCAGCAAAAGGGAGGAAGGGGAAAGTGAAACAGGGCTACATGGCTGGAGGGAGAAACAAACGGGTAACCCAGAAGAGGGGCCAGTGAGAGAAATGAGAAGGGGGTGGGGGAGCGAAGGGCCCAATCCAACTGAAGTCCATGGAAGCTGTTCCAAGGTCTTTTATAGCAGCAAAGAGTCCTGTGGCACCTTATAGACCAGGGGTAGGCAATCTATGGCATGTGTGCCGAAGGCGGCACGCGAGCTGATTTTCAGTGGCACTCACACTGATTGGGTCCTGGCTACCGGTCCAAGGGGCTCTGCATTTTAATTTAATTTAAATGAAGCTTCTTAAACATTTTAAAAACCGTATTTACTTTACATACAGCAATAGTTTAGTTATATGTTATAGACTATAGAAAGAGACCTCCTAAAAACGTTAAAATGTGTTACTGGCATGCAAAACCTTAACTTAGAGTGAATAAATGAAGACTTGGCACACCACTTCTGAAAGGTTGCCGACCCCTGTTATAGACTAACAGACGTAGTGGAGCATGAGCTTTCGTGGGTGAATACCCGCTTCGTCGGATGCATTTACAGATCCAGACTAACACGGCTACCCCTCTGATACTTGAAGGTCTTTTATGTGATTTGGATTGGGCCCTGCAGGGAGGGAGAGGCAGAGAAGAAATAGGGAAAGAGGATGGAGAGTGAGATGAGGTGGGGGCTAGGGAAAAGAAAGGACGGGGAGCCAGGGAAGGGGCAGTGATAGGAGAGAGACATTAAAACAGTAGAAGGAAGAAAAAGAGACAAAAGAGTATAGTGATAGGGAAGTTAAAAGAAGAGATGGAAGGAAAGAACAAGAGAAGGAAAAATAAAAAGCGAGGAACAATTCATCACTTTCAGGTTAGACTCTATTAATACATTTTTTCACACCGATTTAGAGCCCAGTGGGGAAATCGGGGCCAATTGTAGTCTGTGCCTGAGGGTCATATTTTCAGATTTATGGTGGGGAAACAGATGTATTTGCTCAGTTCATGGACCTGAACATCATTGCAGGCTGGTAGATGGGACATTGACCACTGTTCCAAATTGCCCCATTGGCCATGGGGAGGATTGAACTTCTCCTTCCTCACTTGTGGAACGTGACCCAGAGATTGCCCCAAACCTGGTGGGTCTAGGGAGGCCAGGGCTGCTCACCCAGACATCCTGTGCCCCTTCCTTGGCCCTGGTAGCTTCATCCAGCTCCCTGGCAGCATGACTTCATTGGACTCTCCTCTGTCTGTGTCGGCCTCCGAGACTCAGGGATTATACCACAAAGATGGTACAGCTCCAAGATGTATTAACTTTTCCAGGGCCCTTCCTTGAGACCAGATGGAGGAGGATTTACACGTTCCCTTCAGCCAACCCACTTCTCCTCCCAGCTACCCTCTTTCTCCCCTATTACCCCCCCATACAGACCAGAGAGTTCCCTGCTAGGTCTGGAGGGAAGCGATTAAGCCACCCACTTCTGTATGGAACAGGTGGGCCCTCTCTGTGTTGGATCTATGGAACAACAGTCTGATATGTATTACAAACCCACAATATCCTATCGAGAAGTCTCCCTTGACACCGGGTGTCCTGTGATAGGATGGACTGGCCAAGCAGTACTATAGCATTTACAGCTATGCCAACCCTTACTAACAGCAGCATGTTAGAAGGGTCAGACTAGAGGAGCATGTTGTTCCTTTTCATATAACGTTCCTGTTACTGTTATGTTTCTCTAACCTTGTGGTCTGTCTTAGGCTTCCTACTCGTCATAAATGAACGCAGTAAAAGGCTTGTTCTGGTTGATGATGTCAGACTACTTTACAAGTACACTCGTTGTTTTCCATTATACACTCCATAACTTGCTGTAATACTCTTCTTGGATACCAAACATTTTGAATATTGTCTGTGTTCCCATTTCCTTGAGTTGCTGGTACCCATGTATGCACTGAAAAGTGTTAATGGATATCCAGATAGATTAACACATTAAATCAATACATTAAATTAAAGTATGGCACATACACTTGAAACGATTTCCCTAATAGTTATAATTTTCTCTGCCAGCATTTCTCAAATTTAGCAAACTAAGCCTTTCTCAAAAAAGTCTATATTTATTAGAAGTTTGAAACTACCATAATTTTTTATGTATCCTAGTGCAAAACCAATCTGAATACTTTTTTGGCAAGGATTTGGAAGTTATTTTTAATGAGTGGGATAAACAATATTATCATCACATTCAGGTAACTAAAAAATAGCTACACAGATTTTCTTGATATTATTAAAAAAAAAATTCGGGAGTAAGAAAGCACGAGAGATCTCAGCCGAAACATTATAATTTAGAGCAATAGGCTGATACATGCATATCTAAGCATCTATCTATGGTAATGCTAGCTAAGGCTATATCATGTTTTCTAGGCTAGTGTACTGTAAAAATTCAGGTGGCATCCCACCATATATAGTATAAGACTATGACCAAGTTTTAAAGAGGAAATGGTCCTGAAGATTAGGCTCATGTTAAGGTACTCACATAACAATGCTCTTTTACAATAAGCAAACCAAAGGTAATCTTCTCCAGTAGCTAACTGTGCTTTGTCTGTTGCTGCTTCTGCTTTCAGGGGTTAGAAAAGAATGGATGTAAATCACTGGATATCGAGAAATTCAAGCAGGTAATGAAGAAGTGTATGGCACCACATAAAACAGTAAGTGAGCAATTCTCTTTAAAAAGTTGTATAATGGAAAACCTTTTACATTAAAGTCTAGGTCAGCTCTGTGGGCATAACCCTGAAATCTTGAATATATTTGATCCATGAGCTATTGGATTGACCGGCTTCTTCCTGCAAACCTGAGAACGTTATACATCTGTAATAAAAATTCCAAGCATATCAGTGTTAAAGTTCCCATTTTGGGCTTGAAACTGGGAGTTCTCCTGAGTAAACACTGCAGGATTGGACCCTTTAGGACAACTCTCTTAACAGATCTGAACAACATCTGGAACTTTTTCTTCTGTGTTCAGTCTTCGGATCTGAGGATTTGAAAAGTTTAGATAAAACATAACAAAATTGGACTATTCCAATGTGATTCACATTTGGAAACAAGCTAGGAAATCAAATTTTTATATTCAACAGAATTTTTTTTTAAATTTAAATAATGTAGCATCTGCAAAACCCGTTGTCCCTAGCTGGGGAGAGATGCACTATGAAAACTTAAAATCTTTTGATTATTCTTCATATATTGTACTTGTAATATTTAACAATACTTTTAATATGCCTTTTCCCATAGAGTGATGGACAAATACAAAAACTTTTCATGAAAATAGACTGTGCTGCAACTGGAAGAATTCAGTGGGTGAGTGAGTGTATATGGGTGGTGTTTGTTTTGGGGGCTTTTTGCAATTGGTGGAACAAAACTTTGTCAGTAAGGAATGTGTGTGAGAATCGCAGATCCGCAACTTCCGGAGACATAACTCAAGTGGGACTAAAAGTTTATTTTATCCAACCTTTTTAAATCAGTGGTGGAAATTTAATTCAAAGGGAAGGGCAAAGTATATAATTACAGTTTACAGAATTTTTCTTAAAAGAGAGAGAGAGTATTAAAATGAGATTTATTTTTTCAAATTGAAAATATTCCACAGCATGCATCATTTTGTCCTACTTTAGAGTATGACCTAGGAAGGAGTCCAAGTCTCATGGTTGAATTTTGACTTAAATGAGCAAGAAGTTAGGAAAATGATCCTGGAATCCTTTTTCAATCAAACTTACATAAATTCACAGCTCCAGCGTCTTGTCAATGCTCTCTTTGTTCTGTACAGCACTAAGCATGCAATTGGTGCTCAAAAAATAAAGTACCTGCATCTCATGATATTAATATAGAATGTGACATTGTTTCTGCCTGCTAGAAATAATGACTAGGTAGATGGCCAGTGAGGATTGCTGATATATTTGTTTATCTTATAATAATAATAATATATTATTATCATTTATTATTCTAAATAAAAAATGTGTAACCCTCAAGTTGTGAACATAAGACATGGTTCAGCAAAGAATTTAAGCACAGGGGCCCTTGCTGGTCTGTGTAGCAGCATATTCCTCTTGCATTTGCCTTCGTCCTCTCCCTCACATTCCTTCTATTTATTGCATCAACTTGTTTCATCTTAGATTACAATTTCATTGTGGCAGGTACCTTGTTTTTCTGTATGTTTGTAAAATGCCTAGCACAAAAAGGCCCCAACTCTCACTGGGGCCTCTGGGCACCACCATAGTAACATATTAGCTGCCATTCTATTATAATTATGAATCACCAGCTCTTTTCTGTACTAGGACGAGTTCTGCACATACATGCAGCTAGAATATGCAGAACAAGATATGTCATCTGCCCGATTAAAGGAGCTGACATTCTCGCTTCCTGCTGTGATAGAAGAACGCTCTCATGGAGAGCCTGTCCTACGCATTTGTTCTCTGTTTGACAACACCTTAGTAATGACCCAAGAAGATGGAGTTATTTCCTTCTGGTCTCCACAACTAAAGCTGAAACGAAGCAAGATGGTTTTTGTATGTGCATTTTATTTTCTCATTAACCGCTCATGTTTCATGGAAATGCTAGAACTCTTGATTTCATTGACAATTAAATTGTTTATTTTAATTACAACATTGTAAATAATGATACTCATGATTGATTCTGCTATATTACCGGTATGATAGGGAACTGCTCTTAACATATACGTTTTTATTATGCTCCCTTGTTCTATGGTGATTTAAAGCAGAATGGTTCTTTACATGCTGTGTTTGGAATAAAAGTATGTAATGGCTGAATTTGCAGAGGTCCTGAGCACCCTCCTGGCTTTTCCTGAGGTGACTTTGAAAAGTAGATGTTAAATGCAGTTGAATTTAACTGAAACTACACAAGCAAGGTAGAGAAAGGATCATACATGTAGGGCTGGAAGGGACCTCAAGAGGTCATCTAGAAAGCTCCCTGAGCTGAGGCAGGAACAAGTATATCTAGACCAGTGGTTTCCAAACTTTAACAGCCCGCGAACCCCTTTCACTAAATTGTGACATCTTGTGAACCCCCTCCTAAAAATGAATATTTCCAGGGATTTAAGTTTAAATTTCCTCAGTGTGATGGATTTCGCTTGCTTTGCTCTGCATAGCTCTTGGAAGTCTGGAACCACTGGAGAAAGATAAAATCTCAGGTCTGGTTCGGCATCAAGTCTGTGTCTGTATTTGGTTTTCAGATGTGCATACGAGGAAAATGCTTTCTCGCATAAGTATGTTGTTGAAAATGGTAACAAAACGGCAGCAGCTTTTTCTGCCAGAAAGGGGTATTCGTTTCTTAAACGCCAAAAGTTGATCAATGTTAGATTTCTGAAACTCCTTTTCAGTTCGTAATCACAGGAGATCTCAATCAATTTCTCTTTTTCCTTGGTGTTTAATATCTGTGTTGAGAAAGTGGTATCATCAAAAGGGTTGCGAATTCAGTCATTATCGCCTGACATAGCTGGAAAGTATTCCCTGAAAGTTGTGCAAAGTCCTTTTAGGTGTGCAATTATATTGGTTTTAGTGCACTGATCCAACTGAAGTTTGTTCTGCCAGGAAGTCATGAAGATTACTGAAACACTCAGTATGATTGTTTTCCAAACAACTTCCCCGGAACTGCAACTTCTTTATCAGGGATTCAACTCGCTCTTGCACATGGAAAACTGTTATATTCCCCGTCATTGATGTGGCCCCATCAGTGCAAATGCCTAGGCAACGAGACCAAAATATGCATTAGTCAGATTGAAGATATCTTCTCCAGTTGTACGTTCTTCCAATGGTCAGCAAAACAAGAAGTCTTC